GTTCACGCGAAATTTCCATCAGAACCAAGATTGAAGAAAGATAAAATTATCATGGCTCAGCGAATCTGTTAAAATTATATAAATACCAAAACATAAACACATTCAGATAAAAACAGGTTGAATTCAGTTTTCTATTTAATGTATACAATATAAAATAAGATACAAATTTGTGTGGAAAGTCAAAAACAGTTGAATAATAAAATTAATTTCTCAAAAAATTACCATTCAGTTGTTTCAGAAATTGCTCAGATTTATGTAAAAAAAATACATCACACACCAACAAAATTCAATGACTTGATCCCTGCATATGTGAAAAATTATTGAAAATTATTTTCAGTGACTGAAAAATGTAAGAACCATAGAAAATAAAATTAAATCTCAGCTCATTGATTTGTCCGTACAACTTGATAAAAATCAGTAAATTTGGACTTTACATCTCGACTGTAGAATCTGTATTCTCTGTGAAAAAAATATTACACAAAATGATTAATTTATAGTTGAAAATAAACTTAATAATTTAAATAACATTTCGACTGTAGAATCTGTATTCTCTGTGAAAAAAATACTACACAAAATGATTAATTTATAGTTGAAAATAAACTTAATAATTTAAATAACATTTCGACTGTAGAATCTGTATTCTCTGTGAAAAAAATATTACACAAAATGATTAATTTATAGTTGAAAATAAACTTAATAATTTAAATAACATTTCGACTGTAGAATCTGTATTCTCTGTGAAAAAAATATTACACAAAATGATTAATTTATAGTTGAAAATAAACTTAATAATTTAAATAACATTTCGACTGTAGAATCTGTATTCTCTGTGAAAAAAATATTACACAAAATGATTAATTTATAGTTGAAAATAAACTTAATAATTTAAATAACACGACCAAAAATACAAGAATAAAAAGAAATGTGCGCCAAAATATACTGAGTATATTTAACACATATCGGAAACGTGAAGACTAGAGGTCACGGCAATATAAACAGAGCAAAATACAAAACAGATTCAGTAAAAATGAAAGTATATTTTATACGTAGTGTTAGCAGAGATAGTTATCTGTTCATGTGTTACAAAATTGAACCCAATAATCTTGAGAATTTCGTCAAAATTTGAAAATTACCGAAAATTGTGTTGAAACCAGCGAACAACGACCCTACTGCGCATGCGCGAAACATTCAAAATTTTAGCGTGGAATTTGAATACAGAAAAACCCGTTTTTTAGAATTGTGTGTTTTATTAAAATGAAGTGAAAGTTTGAAATGAAATCAGAATTACTTTACCTCATAATTAGTGAATATTTAACATCTGATATCAACTTGTAAACGCCATTTTTAGAGTATTTCGGAGACAGAATTGACAGATTGTGATATCGTCTGACGGACGGCATTCAGGCTTTGATCATGTGATCTCAATGACGTCATTATGTTCTATTTTTAGGTGAAATACGTCAATACAGTGATTAATGTTGTTATTGTAGTGTTGGCATAGCGACGTGTTTATCCAATGGCTTGGCGTAAGTCACGGTGGGATCCTGAAGACAAGAGTTACGATGCTTGGGACTGTGGTCTAAGTCAAATACCTGATGAGATTTTAAGAGAGCCATTACGTCATCAAGTTGAAGTGATAGACCTGAGATGGAATCAAATAGAAGATTTACCTCCAAATATCGGGACTTTATGGCCAGAATTGAGAGAACTGTGGTTGAGTGCCAACAAACTGAGATATATTCCGGAGTCAGTCTGTGATCTAAAAAAGTTAGAAGTACTGTACGTGAATGGCAACCCATTAGAACGTCTTCCTGCATCGCTGACAGACTTACAAATTTGGAGACGTTTTGTGTAGCCCAATTGAA